TCTGTCTGTCTGTCTGTCTGTCTGTCTGTCTGTCTGTCTGTTTGTCTGTCTGTGTGTCTGTGTGTATGTGTGTGTGTATGTGTGTGTGTGTGTATGTGTGTATGTGTGTGTGTGTGAATGTATGTGTGTATGTGTGTGTGAATGTATGTGTGTGTATGTGTGTGTGTATGTGTGTGTATGTGTGTGTGTATGTGTGTGTGTGTATGTGTGTATGTGTGTGTATGTGTGTATGTATTTATGTATGTATGTATGTGTGTATGTATGTATGTGTCTGTCTGTCTGTCTGTCTGTCTGTCTGTCTGTCTGTCTGTCTGTCTGTCTGTCTGTCTGTCTGTCTGTCTGTCTGTCTGTCTGTCTGTCTGTCTGTCTGTCTGTCTGTCTGTCTGTCTGTCTGTCTGTCTGTCTGTGTGTGTGTGTGTGTATGTGTGTATGTATGTGTGTGTGTATGTATGTTCGTATGTATGTGGATGTATGTGTGTACTGGGTGCCTCTGTGTTTGTGTGTAAGTGAGTGATTGGGTTTGTGAGTGTATGTGGGTGTGTGTGTGTTCGCGCGCGACCGGGCGCGCATATTTTACCACCCATGCTTTTGTCTTTGACTTCATATCCATAATATGCATATTATTACATGAATATAACATGCTTCATGGATGAAATACAACTGCTGTGTGAAAGATGGAAGTTTTGAAGGGCTGAATGTAAGACAGGCCTGCGTCCAAATTTGTAACCCTTTGAAAAAAAAAAGTTCGTTCGTTCGTTCGTTTTCTAATCGTGGATTGCCATTTTAAATATTTGTTTATGCATTTCATATTATATGAAAATATATATATATATATATATATATATATATATATATATATATATATATATATATATATATATATATTTCATTTATATATAGCCTACGCTTTAATACTGGACAGAGGACAGAGAAAAAAAACCTTCCTTCTTCATTCGTCAGTGTTATCGTTTGACTAACAATTCTCGTAGAAGACAACGAGATACAGGCCTGTGCCATTACATTTTCACCGATCTGCAATAGCCGCTAGTGCCGCGTATAATGCCAGCTCTAACATTGATTCAGAAAAGCATCTTCTTCTGCTGTCTAGTGTTGTCTTCTTTTTATCTTCTTAGCGTTCACCGGCTGCAGACCCTCTTGTGGACTTTGATCATTTTCCAGAACCTGAATTCCGAGTGCACATCCGTTTTATAGATTTGACTTACTTGTATGTAAATTGGTTTCTCGTCTTTCAGACAGAGGCGCCCCGACTTCGAAGGAAAAATCCCTAATTTGTTGTCTGTTATGAAATGCTTTTTAGAGAGGCGGTGGGTCTGTTCTCAAGTTGAACGTTTTAAACATGTGTAACTTTTTATAATCATGGATAAAGTTAAGGAACAATCTTCATTTACAGTCTCTAATAAGTACCAGGTATTGCAGCAGTTAGCTTAGGAGGTAAGGACTGAAGACTTCTGGGAACAGATCAAGGGAACTGGGAATGAAGTTCTTGGTAAAAGAGAACGGAAACATGAGGCGTGGATAACGCTGAAACCCCTAAAATTATAGGAAGCAAGAAACGCAAAAAGGCAGACTTAAACAATAGAGAAAAAAAGTATATATATATATATATATATATATATATATATATATATATATATATATATATATATATATATATATATATATTTATATATATATACTAACAAGTTAATAGGGAAGTTGGGAGGCGAAAAAGGGCAGATGAAAGGAAGTATTTAGATGACCTAGCTTAAGAAGCAGCAACACAGCAGAACAGTGAAACCTCCGAGACCTTTATAATAGCAAAAGGAAATTAGTAGTTAAATATAGTCAGCCAGCTAGATCAATCAAAAGTAACTCTTTGAGTCCCAGGAAGTTTAGCATCACAAGCCCGAAGAGTAGTAGAGAGAGACATAAAATTGGCGCATCTTGCGTTTTTGGGGCTTTCAAGTAGGAAATTATGAACGAATGCTGCGTTTCTTGGTACTCAGAGGAAAGGTACCCAAAAACACTAAAGGTCGAATGGACAAATGGGCTGAATATTTGGAAATACTTCTGAATTTTGACCCGCCCTAGCGGTACCTCCAGATATCCAGACGTTAGAACAGGAACTGGGTACCAATTGTGGGATACCTTGTAAAAGTGACATTAGGAAAGCTATCGATCGCTGGAAGTAAAGAAAGGCTCCAGACCCAGATGGTATGCCATTAGAAGTTGTATAAATATATCCAAGGAACGGGTACACCTATTATTTAGTAAAGTCTGGGAGACCGAAGTAATACCAGCAGTTTGGAAAGAAGTATATCTTGTGAGCTTTTTCCAAAACGGTGATCCGCAAGAGTGTGAAAACTATAGAGGAATTACGTTGCTGTCAGTTCCCGAAAAAATAAATGTTTAGAATAATTATTTTGGAGAGACTTAAAGATGCTTTTGATTAAGAGCTCAGATGTGAACCGACAGGTTTTCGGTCAAATAGATTCTGTACTGCCTAGATAGCCACACTACGCATAATTAATTACAGAGCAAAGCTCTTGGACTTAAAGATCATGGCAAAAGTTTTGACAAATTTGATGGAGAATCTATCTGGAAATTGATGGGGCACTATGAGATCCCACATACAATTATTAACTTAGTATAAGCAAGATATAAAGACATGACGTCCAGAGTTCCCCATGAGGGAAAGCTAACAGATACATTTGAAATATGAAAAGGTGTGTGACAGAGGCATATTTTGTCATCACTTCTATTTTTACTGGCAACAGACTGGATCATTAAGACATCATCGTGATGTATCAGGTCCTTTGCAGAAAGTCGCTCTTCGTCACAGTCGCCTGAAAGAAACTCGGTCTGTCGTCAGCTGTCACTTGGTCCGTCAATGTAAAGGTTGCTGAAGGCCGAGGACATAGTTTAAAACCACATGGGTGTGGAAATCAAGAGGGAAACTACCATATTACTATACCAAGAAATCCATTATGTATCATCATGACAGCAACCGCTAATACCAAGAATGAAATTCACTGGACCCCTACTTGATGACCTGGACCTCGCTGATGATATTTCTCTTCTATCCAACTCACGGAATCAGTTGCCAGATAAATATACATGAGACAAGATCACAAACACTAGGTCTAAAAATTCACAATGAAAGACAAGGATAATGAGAATAAACTAGGCAAAATGTAATTTGGTATCTGTTAATGGCATCCGGGAGTCGCCGTGGCCGAGCGGCTAGACGCTCGCCGCGGATCGGAAGGTCGTGGGTTCGCTCCCTGGCGGAGACGGACTTTTCTTCAAAAATGACCTTGGCTGCCAGGTCGACCCAGCCTTGAGTGGGTACCGGGTGTAATCCCGGGAAGTAGAGGCGGCCGGCGTGATGCTGACCACATCACCCATCTTGTGCCGTTGGTCTATAAAAATATAGGTCTAGCCCTATATGCCCTATACGCCTAAAGGCGTGGAAACGGTCCTTTACTTTTTTTTTTTTTTTTTTTTTAATGGCATCCTACTTCAAGATGTAGAGTCACGCATCTATTTGGGCAGTAAAATAGATTAAGATGTGGGAACTGATGGAGATACTAAAATACCTATACAAAAATCAAGGAGAGCTTTCATAGGACAAAGAAATTTGCGGAGGCGAAGGAGATTAAAACTACGGCTTTATGAAGCGGACACATAGATAACAACTAAAACAGTTACTAATAAAAGACATCATATATCAACTGCTACATGTGCAGCATTGACGATATTATATGGTATAATGGAATCAGTTACGTATAGTTATAGGAAAGAAGTAAACAAGTTGCAAGAAGTGAAGAAAAGACGCTGGCTTTGGATAGGACACACGCTGAAAAAACCTGAGAACAGTTTAACTAGAATGTCTTTTTACTGGCACCCACAGGAGCATAGAAATAAAGGCAGGCCAAAAACACACTGAGAATGGCGTGAGCTGGCGTCTGTGGCTTAGGCTTAGCGAACGCACTTCGTTAAGCCGGGATCGTGGGCTTGTACTTCAGTTATAAAGGATTCCTGTATTTGCTTCATTTATGTAGTTTTCACTGTTGTATGTACCTGGCGATATACAATGAAATTTGCCAGGTAGTAAATCGGGCAATCTGTTGTTTGTATCGTGTTTGTTCAGGTATAAAATATAAGTTTAGCCTGACATACCCAATATGCACAAAGGTGTGGACAAGGGTCCTTTATTATCAATTGCCTCGTGAAAGATGAGTGTTTGAATGGGTCGAGTGGAAGACGGGCCTGCGTGCCCAATTTCTGACCCTTTGAAAATAAAATTGTTCGTTCTTCTTCTGCTGCTGCTAGCACTGGTGGTTCTGCTGCCGCTGTTGCTTCTGCCGCTTCTGTATTTGTTCTTTAAAAGGAGTCTGGCACAGCTAGGTTGCGATGTCTGTGCTTTTCAGCCCAGCAAACTCCTAACTAGTAGCCTTTTACGATATGCTTGTTAGTTAACATGGGGTTCTTCCCCCCCCCCCTCCCCCACCCCATCTTCCACAAAATCAAAATGACTAATAAAAACTGAGCCCGGAATGCACTGCGGAACAAAGGGGTTATACAACAAAGAAAAGATGGCTCATTTTTTAGCTTGGCTCATATCTACATACTTAATTTCTTGCAAAACGTGATGATCCTGAGAAACTTTTGCGCTGTATTGAATCCCTGCGGGTATAAAATATCCATCTGTATTTTCCCAAGGGCTATCATGATCTATCAGCACACTTTTAGGGAAATTATATTTGTATTTCTTCAAATATTCCACGTTGTTTTTATTTCTCCTTTCATTTTTTCCTCCTTAGAATTGGGGCGTTATCTATTATTTCTCCTCTGTCTCTCGATGTCACTCTTCCGCATTTCTAAATTATTCATTTCTGCTTCTTCTTCTCTGTTGATTCTTTCCTCATTCCCAGACACAACCTTTAAAATGTTCGCAATCCTCACAGTTTTCGTCTGTTTCTCTTATCTTTTCCAAGGACTACACCATCACGATGTACTTGAACCAATACTGGCGGGACGAGAGGCTGCAGTTCATCAACAACGACTCCTTGGCCAGTATGGGCAACAGCATCACCACGATGACTTTGACTGGGGCCTTCGCCGAGAAGATTTGGGTCCCCGACACCTTTTTAGCCAACGACAAGAATTCCTTTTTGCACGATATCACAGAGAAGAACAAAATGGTGCGGCTGTATGGTAATGGATCACTCGTGTATGGAATGAGGTATGTTGTTCTCCTCCTTCTCCTTCTTCTTTTTCTTCTTCTTCTTCTTCTTCTTTTTTTTTTCTTCTTCTTCTTCTTTTTCTTCTTCTTCTCATTATTCTCATTCTTCTACTTCCTCCTCTTCTTCTTATATTTTTTCTTCCTCTTATCTTTCTTCTTCTCCCCCGCCCCCTCCTCCCTCTTCCATCCATCCATTCATGTTTCTACTAACATATTTATCACTTATTCCTTAGGTAGGCTATAACCCCTGGTTTGCATGATAGACTAACATAACTACCCAAACATTGTTTCATACATCCATCCATATACACCAGACATGTCAAACTGGCGGCCCATGGTAGCATTCGGCCCTTTGCAAGCACACTTGCGGTCCGCACATTGGAAATATTCTACAGTCATTGTTATTAAATGACTCTAATTCGGACAAGGAAGAACAAAACAATGTGCAACGTAAAACAGACACTCTCGCTCTACATTATGTTGAATACCCACATAATCTTTGGGTTCGCGTCTTTACGGGTGGATCAGCACAAAACGCAAGCAGAAATGGAGGAGCAGGTGTCTATATTGAGCATCCCAATAATACCATATCTACAGCCAGAATACCTACAGGAAAGTAATGTCACAACTATGATACAGAAGTTCAAGCCATCAAAATGGCAGCAGAAAAACTGTTAAATATATGTTATATTTTACAACCGTCGTATTTCTGACAGATACAAGAGCGGTGCTTCAGGCCCTCCAATCTGGAAAACTACCGAGTATACGAACACTGATCTCCAAACTGGGCAGTCAGTGTAAGTTAACTATGCAGTAGATACTTTCCGACTGTAGAGTTTCAGGAACTGAAAGAGCTGATAAACTAGCTAAGAAAGGTGCAAATGAAGAACAACCTGACTTACCAGTCTCTTATCAGCAAAAGAAAAAAATAATCAAATTATTCAGAAAGCCACCAAAACCGACACAAGTCGATTACCATTTGATGGACAGACCAGAGCAAGTTATTATTCTACGCCTTAGAACAGGACACAATCGACTGCGTAGCCACATGTACACACAATTTAAAATCGGCGAATCAACCATGTACACATGTGGACTGGCACCTGCGACAACAGATCATGTACTCCAAGACTGTCCCAAATACAACGTATTAGGGCAAACCTTTTGGCCAGGAGAAACATCGGTACAGGTCAAACTTTACGGGTCGCTGAGTGAATTATCAAAGACAGTGAAGTTCATACTAGAGACAACATTGCAGATATATATAATTTATTTCAAGCGAACGAAAGAAGAAGAAGAAGTTTATCTATTCATTTATTCAGCCGCTCATTCATCCACCAAACTATATATCCATCCATCTGCCACTACCACGCTAGCTTTGTAAGAAATATTTACAACTATCCTTTCCTTCGATCCATCCACACTCGTATACATCTGTTCCCTGAAATAAACTTTCTTGTCCTAAACATTCGCAACTACATTGGCAGTTATGATAAACTAACAGTTCTTCACACACACACACATCCATTCATCCATCCATCAAACAGTATACATCCATACATACCTCATCTGTAACTACCACACTAGCTTCATAAGAAAGACTTTTATAACCCCCCCCCCCCCCCCCGGACACAACCATCCATCATCCGTCTGTCCATCCACCTATCCATCCTACCACCATCTAACGTTCACAGTATTTACCCTCCAGGTTCACAACCACCCTGGCATGTATGATGGACCTACATAACTACCCACTCGACCACCAGGAGTGTACGGTGGAGATCGAAAGCTGTGAGTACCTTCTCTTCTAGGAATGTTTTCCCTTGGTGTGTGTGGGATCGTGCACGTGTGGAAATGTTTGTGTGTATGACAGTCTTCATGTGCAGCAGTTTGTGGGTGTGTGGGTGAGTATCTGTGTGTGCGATTGTTGTGAGTCAAGATGAGACTAAGGTTGAGGATACTGGATAACGTGGCATCATATTATAGAAGCATGCTCGCCTGTTGGCTTAAAGGTTTTAGTACGAATCACCACTGAGTCGATTTTCTTCTTCTTCAGAACTGACCTTGGCATTCAGGTCAACCCAAACTAGAATAATTATTACAAGGCGATGTCGTGAGATGCAAAGTCAACCGATGTGATTTTGACCACATCACAAATCAGTTGCTGATGGGTCTATAGTAATATGACATAAATAACCACATGGGGAACATTTGAGGTGATGGAATCAGTAAACACCACAAATAAACAGATAGGTATTGACCGAAACTAAAAAAAAAATTTTTTTTAAAGTAGAAGGATATAGGGACATACTGGACAAATATATTCGCGGCGTGGAAAACTATCTTCTTCTTCTTTTTCTTCTTCTTTTTCTTCTTCTTTTTCTTCTTCTTCTTCTTCTTCTTCTTCTTCTTCTTCTTCTTCTTCTTCTTCTTCTTCTTCTTCTTCTTCTTCGTCTTCTTCTTCTTCTTCTTCTTCTTCTTCTTCTTCTTCTTCTTCTTCTTCTTCTTCTTCTTCTTCTTCTTCTTCTTCTTCTTCTGCTGCTTTTTCTTCTTTTTATTATTATTATTATTATTATTATTATTATTATTATTATTATTATCATTATCATTATTATTATTCTCCTGCTTCTCCCTTTTCTCCCCTCTACTCCTGGAATGCCTCGCAGCGTCAGGGCAGGAAGAGGTCTCTGAAATAAGTCCTTCTGTTCAATTCGTATAAACTAATGTTCAGTCTTTAATATTTCTGCAGTCCATATTCTGCGTGATCGACTTGTCTTGCTGTTACCGCTGTATGTGTATAACATTGTTTCCCGAGGTGCGCACTTTCTGGTGCTAATCTTGTTATCTGGCCAGACCATATAGTCTGTTGTCTACCGATAAAGTTCAGTAATGGTTCTGTGCCCACTCTCCTCCTGATAGCATCGTTCCTGGGCCGATCCTTCCTTGTTACACCCAGTATTATACGTAAACAGTTCATTTCTGTCGTAAACATTTCCCCTCTGTCCTCTGAAGACAGTGTCCATGTTTGACATCGATAGCATAGCATTGGTAAGAATATTGTATTGAACAGTCCCTTTTTTAAGGTGTTCATATTCACATCCTTGCATTTCAGTATTGTTGCCATTTGTTCTATAACTTGACTGGCTTTATTGCGTCTTTATTCCGCTTTCTGAAGAAGAAAAAAATTGCTCCCCAGATATGTCAAGTCCTTCCCTTGCTTTAACTGTTGTTTACCGATGTTGATTGTGCTTCTTCCTTTCCTGGAGAATGTCATCATTTCTATGTTCTATTTTCACATCCTTTCTGACTTCGCCAGGTGATGATTTTTTAATTCTTCGGAGAGGGAAATATGATTGGGGGAGCGAGGGGGGGGGGGGGGGGGGAGAGGGTTATGCAAGACACAGTTAGCTGTGAGAAAGCTTAAAATATTATTTTAATATTCTCATTTCTTAACTATTTCTATTTTAATAATTTCGGCAGGTAATGATTTTTCAATCCTACGGAGAGGGACATATGATTGGTGGGAAAAAAAAGGGGGTGGGGGTTATGCCAGACACTGTTAGCTGAGAGAGCTTAAAATATTATTTTAAAGTTCTCATTTATTAACTATTTATATTTTAATATTTCGTCATGGGTGATTTTTTAATCCTTCGGAGAGGGAGATATGACTGGGTCTAGGGGAGAGGAGGGGGGGGGGGGGATATGACAGACACTGTTAGCTGAGAGCTATTTTCTTTTCTCTCCATTTCATCATTCTGGGCTACAGCATCGCGTCGCCAGGTACAGCTATTACTATATAAGTATGAGTCTAGCATCATATACCAGATATGCCTAATACGTCATAAGACATGGAAAAGGAACCTTTATTGTTACTGTTTATCATTTGCCAGATAGGCCAGTGGTCCTTTATTTACTTACTTATAAAGATACTTGTGTATCTGAAATGATTGACAGCTTACAAGACAGGCGACTGTTGACAGATATGATCACCAACGTCACGCGACAACAGCTAAAAGAAGAAGTATATGTGTCTGTTCTTGGTCTGCTTCCCGTTCACTTCGCTGTACCCTCCAGCATGACAAGTTCTGATTCTTCATCCACTTCTGGATTTTGGTCCTGTTCCAAAACTTTAGTTTTAAGTGCACATTCATTTGACACATCTGACGTAAATTGTATGCAGATTGTTGGTTCCTCGCTTCTCAAGCAGATGCATTCTGACTTCGAAGGATCTTCTTCTTCTTCTTCAGCATTCCAAGCACTTGAGGTTCACCGCTGCAGACATCACACGCCTCCATTCATCTCTCTGGTTGGCCTTCTCTTTCCAGTTGGTGACACTAAGTGTTTGCAGGTCTGTCTGGACATTATCTTTCACTTCTTTTTTGACGAGTACCGATATCTTTTGCCTTCAAAAAAAAAAAAAAAAGAGTCCCGAGGCTAATGATAAAAATGATGATGACAATGATGTGCCGAATAGCGCCTAAAATAAAAACGCGTCTGCAATAATATTGAGTATAAACAGATACTTCTTATATTGTTAACAGGACCGCTCAGCTCTTTGACAAGTTTTGTTGTTGTTGGGGGAGGGAAGGGGGCGGAGCTCAGTCCCCTAAAATGTCTCAGTGGATGGGAGCCTCACTAGCTCTGAGCCGCATGTTCCGCTGCCTGAGCTCTGGACCACACGTGCAGGAAAACTAGCAACAGTAGCAACCGTTCCGTTTGTAAACTGCACACAAACAGTTCTGTCTTCAACCCCAGACTGCACCCACTGACCCAGGCAGGCTTCCAATTCACTCAAAGTGCAGAAAACATAAACAGAAAGTAATAAACAAGCCCGACCTGACCACAAAATAAACTATTCGCAAAAACAGATCATTTTCTGACAACCGCTTGAGCACATTTGAAAGCCGCCATTTTCTTCAGGGTCTTTTGAGAGCAATACATCATTTCCGTCTGCTGTCTTTGATTATGGCGGCAAATCTTGGCTGTTGTTTTCTGAAGAAAGTGTGGGTGTTCTGTTTTATTCCATGTCCTCATTTTCTTGTATTCTTTTGCACAATGATCTTTTTGTGTACAATAGTAGATTTTTAGTTTCAAGGCTTGGATAGGCACACCCGATTGGCACCTTTCCGTTTTTCCAGACAATAGTGTTATACTGTGCAATGAAGAGGCATGCGTCTTACATCCAAAGACCTTATCGAGTGTGACTAGTAAGACCTGCCCGCGTTAAGAAGTCTTCCACGGTTAAAGCAATGGGATTTCGGGACCGTTCTTGTCAACATTTGCATTTAGTCTGTGTTGTTTTTTTCCTCAGACGCTCAGCTCTCATCTTTTCTACAATCATTTCTTTCTTCATTATCATTCCCTTCTTGATGTGTTCCCTCCACACAACTCTGTCCGTGTTATTTTGTTCCTACGAGTGAAGTCATGCTTCTTTTTATTGTCTGGTGCAAATGATTTACAGCCTGCTCGGATTGTTGTCCTAGCTTCAGTCACCCACTGAAGCATTTAGACTGGTGGATAAACACCTTTTTGTCTAGGGGATGTCCAGCTTAGGCGGGCGATAGTTGATCAGGGACATTTGAAGAGGCAACCCGTGGCGCCCTCGTCTACGTCAACTGACACAGACTTATAACCCACAACTGTTTTTGAGACCACTTACAGCAAGGGATTAGCTTCATCCTCCCCACAGCACAAAACCTGGACAGTATTGTAGAGAACACATGTTGCCCGTGCATCATGGCCCCTCACTCGACCTGCAATATTTACTCTAAAGAAAAGGTAACACCAGTATGTTTGGAACAAAGCAGGCTGCAGAAGCTGTCGGATCAGAAAAGCAATACTCTATCTGACTCCCTGTCATAGCTTCCCTCCTAGACCAGATGCCAGCCAAGACTAAGGGCCTGGTCTTCCCTGCTATAACAAAGTATTCTGACTGCATTTCCTCTTCCTATGATAAGGCTAGTTTCCTCCCAAACGAGTTTCTCTGGCACATAATATATCATAGGTATTTCGTCCTTTTAAGGACGAAATTTTTTGTTATTTGAAGCCCTACCCTGGCTTTTGCCAGGGGCTGCAATATAGGCAGGCCATAAATATGGCTAATTGTCTGAACTCTCTTACTGGGACCTCTTCACGGCGATCCTCATCCACATGGTGGCACTTTGTGTCATCGGGTGTTTATCGCTTGTGTGATGTTCTAGTGGGGTAGAAAGTCAGTCAGTCAGTCTCTGGCACACCCAGAAAAAACAGTTATATATCATCATAATACACAACTATGTGCTGTTGTTCCTGTTGCTGTTACTACTACTGCTGCTCTTGCTACTACGTATACTATTGCTGCTAATGCTGCTGCTAATAGTACTAGTAATTACTACTGCTACTATTATTATAGCTGCTGCTACAACAACAAAAACAAGAGCTACTTCTACTACTAGTTCTACTTTACTACAACTAAGTGCACAGTACAGTCAGCACTAGATAGATGGTGTGTACTCGATAACACCAGCTACCTTTATACAATATTTTAGGTAGACATTTATACATTATAGTTCTATTTAAAAAAAAAAGTACTCTTCAAACTGTTTACCCCGGTAGATCAGCAAAACACAGGAATTGTTTCGCGTTTCGGCTGACAGCTGGAAACAAAAACAAATGTAGATAGTACGTATTTGTCAAATCCGATCTCACAAAAAATTATAATTTTCGGTTAATATGACATTTGCTGCTGCTTAGAGATAAGACAATATGATATATGTGACTGGAGCCTTGTTTCTGACTGACAAAGCGCTGCAAAAAAATGCATTCGATTTCTTTGAGAAAGCCTTTTCCCTCGAATAGTAAGTCAAAAAAACATGATGAAATTCACCAAATTGCATAGACAGGCATAAATAGGTCGCTATAGTGAGGTGTCTATTTCACAGAAACACGTCAAATTTGACAATCTTGACACAAACAGACCGCCATAAAAGTGAAGTGTCCGCTTCCCAGATACAAGTGGAAATTCGCGATCCCCGAACTAATCCTCACTTTGGCGTATTCCGGTGTGCCATAATTCACCGGTCTCTGAGGGACAATTACCCTCGGAGACAGGAATTGTTGCACTCAGGGTCTTATTGACCAGGCCAGGTCCCTCCTAACGTCATGGGTCCTCAAGTAATGATATTTCTTCTTATTCTATTCCTTCACCTCCTCATCCTCCACCACTTCCTCCTCCTCCCCTCCTCCTCCTCATTCTCCTTTTTCTTCTTCTTCT